TAAACACACAGGAACAATCACCAAAAAGAGGGAGGGGAGGGGAGAGGCAGTTAATGAGAGAAAATAGTTAAAGAAATACTTTAAAAAGCCAAAGGAAATATGAGTAGAACAAGGGGGGGGGACCCCAGCAATATCTGGGAAATCAGAGGAAAGAGGTAGAGTAGAAGAATAATGAAGAAAAAATGGGAAGAATACAAAAAGAAAAACAAGGAATAGGGAGAACCACAGAAAGAAAAAACAACCAGGAAAAGGGAAGAGAGAAAAAGCCAAAAATTAGAACCTAGGAAAGGAAGAAGACAGAGTAGTAATAAAAAGGATGAAAAAAAAAATTTTTTTAAACAGATAAACTAAAAAAAGAAAAAAATCTGCACGGGGCAGGGCACCCAGGCTCCATCAGCGCACACAGACCCAGAAGATGGATGGGAGTGAGGGATGGCCGCACTTCCATTCACCAAGAGAATGTTGGATATAAGAGTAACAAGGGGAGTATCACACCTTTCCAGTCCTCAATGTTCAGAATGTCCTTGCAGTTTCTGGCAAGTGAAGCCTATTCTTAGGTCCCTGGAATCTGAGAAAATGCTATTGCTTTCAGTATCCAAAATAGTTGGACCACTTGTAAATGTTTGAAATGGCTGCACCCTCCGGACAATCCTCCATGCAGCCCCTGGCTATCAGGGCTAATTTTTAGGTTAATTGTTAGGTCCTTACACTACTTGGCAATATCCAGGCTGTCTGTGCTGTCAGGATCGACAACAGTGCACAGCTCTGTATGTTTCCTATTTCGGTTTTTCCAGCAGGTTCTTCTACTAGTTGTTCAGTCCACTTCTGTATTCTTCCTTTCAAAGCTTGGGGCTCCAGGATTTTCTTCTGTATCTGTGTTAACTGGTTCCCCTTCGTTGAAGAGGGTCTGTGTACTTTGCCTCTTCTGCCATTTTACTGGAACTCTCCTCTTGATTTCTTGTAGTGTTTTTTTTAGTTTTCTTTGTATAGGTCTTATTTGTGTCTATGGTTAAATGTATTCCTCAGTTCTTCGTCTTTTGGGTGGTTATTGCAAATGATATTGTTTTCCTGATTTTCTTTTCAGAGTTCTCTTTCTTCATGTAAAGGAATCCAACTGACTTTGTATGTTGATCTAATACCCTGCAGCTTTGCTGAATCCTTCTATTAATTCCAGTAGTTTGCTTGTTGAATCTCTGAGATTTTGAATGTTTAGGGTCATATAATCTGCAAATAGAAATAGTTTGACTTCTTACCAAATTTGGATACCTTCCCCCTCACTTTCTTGCCTGATTACAATGGCTAGGACTTCCAATACAGTATTGAATAGGAGTAGTGATAAAGCACATTCTTGTTTGGTTCCTGTTTGCAAGGGAAATGTTTTCAGTCTCTCCCCATTGTGAATAATGTTGCCTGTTGATTTGGTATAAATGCCCTTAATTAGGGAGCTCTGGTAGCATAGTGGCTAAGACACTTGCCTGCTAACCAGACGGCTGGCGGTTCAAACCCACCAGCCACTCCTCGGAAGGAAGGTTGGGCAATGCTACTTCCGTAGTGATACTGCCTCGGAAACCCAAGGAGGGGTCGCTATGAGTCGGGGCCGACTCCACGGCACATAACAACAACAACAACAAGCCCTTAATTATGTTGAGGAATTTCCCCTCTCTTACTGTTTTATCAAGAATAGGTATTGAATTTTCCTAGTAAGTTTTCCCTACTTTCATTCAGGACATAATTAGCTAAGTTGCTAAACACAGAACTAGTACTAGCATTAGCTATCTGAATTATTTTTTTTAAAGTCATCATTATGAAAGAAATCTAACAAAAATCCACCCCTAATACCTTTATTTCATTGTCCATTGAGAAATAATGATATGAAGGGATGTAGTTAGAAGATGTTAAGTGTTGCTAAGGTATTTATTTTATTTTTGACAGAACATATCTGTTTTCTTTTTCATTCTTGCTGTCCTCATCACTGGTTTTAATCTTTTAAAGTGTGTACAATTGTGAAAATTAGGATTTGTTTGCAATGTGTGCTATTTTGTTTTCAGTCCAGTGTCTTGGAATTAATTCCTTTTTATACACACTGTTCTAATATGCTGTCACTTAATTTATCTTTGCTGCAGATTATTATTATCAGACATATTATAAAGATGTTAATCTTCCAAATAAAGGAACTGATCTCTCAGTTCAACAAGGTCAGGATATTGAAGCTTCTACTTTTAATTCTGAAGACCAGTCAGAAAGAGAAAATGATGCTTATGCTGGCACTGACATAAGAGAAGATGTTAAATGTAGGCAAGAAGACCATTTCCCTTCTAATTCACAGGTAATAAAATATTACACATGAAACGATTGATGCCTAAAATTTGTTCTTTGTTGTCTTTATTATATAGAAAATAAGATCATGTGTTTTGCTTTCTTTTTTTAAAAAATATGTAGAAAAATGAACTTTGGTCCATTATAGCATATTATAAGGGTTTTAAATATTCTTATACATACTTATGCAAAGAATGTTACAGTTTTTGAGAAACAAAAATCAGAACTTGTCCATATGTATAATTTATTTCCTTCTCTCTTGTTTCAAAAATGCATAACGTACATAAACTTAAAAAGAAAATTTGTTGTATATGTTAAGACGTTCTGACTTCAAATTAACTAAGGAAATTTAGACGAGTGCCCAAAGACAATAAATGTTCTTACCTAAAAGTAAAATACAAGAAATCTTAACATAGACAAATATATATTTTCTTTTCATAATATCTATGTCTAGTTATTATTTGTCCTTCAGAATCTATTATTTTTGTTTGTGCATTGTTGATGTGATAGGTAAGGTGTTATGGTAACTTTAAATTAAAAAAAAAAAAACTTTTTAATGGAAAATTTTAAGCATATATAAAAGTAAGAATAAATAGTATAATGAACACATACACCCATCACTCATAAGTTCATAGCCAGTTTTGTTTAATTAAACACCCCTGCCCATTTTCCCCATTCCATCTTATTTTTAAACAAATTCCACATATTTTATGAGTGCTAAAGGTTTCATATATAATAAATACAAGGACTTTTTTTTTCTTAAACACACTACCATTTTCACAACTAATTTTTTTTTAACATTTCTTTTATATCACATATCTTGTCACTGTTCAGATTTCCTTAAATGTTTTATTATTTTGATTTTTACAGTTTATTTGTTTGAATCATGATCCAAGTAAGGTCTGTTCAGTGTTAACTGGTCAGTGTGTGCCAGAGCTCATTTAATCTTTAGCTTTCTCCCTCCTCCTCTCTCTTAATTTTTCCTTTTGAGCATGTAATTATTGAAGAGTGTCTAGATCATTTGTTTTACAGAATTTTTAGGGTCTTTATTCTGTGGATTGCTTCCCTATGATATCACACACTTACTTTTGAATAATTGTCACTCTCTTTTATTGCCTTTCAAAAATGGGTTAAAATTGAATTATTAACTCTAGTAAATTTTTTAAAGAATGGATCAAATTGTAATCAATAGCTACGCTTCTCCATTGCGGACATTGAAGTCTTATTTTAAAATAGATTTTAAGTCTATTTATTATTTTGAATTCTAACTTTTAAACGATCATGCAGAACCTTTTGTCTCATTTCTCATGACTGTCTTACTAGGAATCAGCATCTGCATTAGCAACAGAAAATACATCTTTAGAAGGTTCATCATTAGCTGAAAGTTTGAGGGCAGCAGCAGAAGCTGCTGTATCCCAGACTGGATTTACTTATGATGAAAATACTGGATTATATTTTGACCACAGCACTGGTTTCTACTATGATTCTGTAAGTATTTCACACCTTTTAATACTTTTTGATTGTGTAGCTGGCTGCTTGATACCAAAAATGAAGTCTTAAGCTGTGTAAGAAAAGCAAGAAACTGTAATTAAAAACTGTAATTAAAAGTTATTTGACAATAGGAAAGAATTATAAAATAGCCTATGATAGTACACTCTGAGTCTTTAATTAAATAAAGTAAATTGTTATTTGTGATTATTACAAATTAATATCTTAGAGTAGTCTAATAACTTTTTGGAGCCCAGTGGCCATAGTGATAAGGACTCAGCTGCTAACCAAAAGGTTGGTAGTTTGAACTCACCAGTTGCTCTGTGGAAGAAAGATGTGGCAGTCCATAAAGATGCCTTTCATGGCAGCCTAGGAAACTGTGTAGGAGACCCTACGGGGTGGTTCTGTTCTGTCCTGTTGGGTTGCTGTGAGTCAAAATTGACTTGACAGCGAGGGAGTGTTTTGGTTTGGAATAACTTTTCATTTGTAAAGTAATGTTAAACTGTTAGAGCTTTTATTAATAAAGATATAAAACTAATTTTATTATTGTAAAAATAGTGAAAGATTTAAAAGCCTAAACTAGTATTTTTTTTTTTTTACAGAATTTAAAGGAATTGAGATTTTTAATTTAGGCTTGGGGTGGTACAATTTTTACAAATTTATTTAAAGATTGTTATTTATCTTATGAATGCATCTGATGCCACAGAGGGAGTCTTTTTTCTTGAATTCTCAGTAGTATGTTTATTATTAGTGTTATGTATTCTGTGGTTTTCATCTTTTTTTTTTTTTTTAAATCAATTTGCTAACAGTGAGAACTAGTAGTTCAGTATGTTGTTGTTATTTGCTGTCGAGTCGGCCCCGACTCATAGCGACCCCTCCTTGGGTTTCCGAGGCAGTATCACTACAGAAGTAGGATTGGCCAACTTTCTTTCTGAGGAGTGGCTGGTGGGTTTGAACCACCAGCCTTCTGGTTAGCAGTCAAGTGCCTTAGGCACTATGCTACCAGAGCTCCTAGTAGTAGTTCAGTATAGAATCAGAAATATAATGGACCACTGAATAGGACAGAACCAGAAAATAAAGTTCTTGATTTATGTTACACTGTTAATGACTATTGAAGTCTAACATGTAATTGGGTTTCATTCAGGATTTGATGACAATGAAGATGGAACTCATCTATAGACATACCTCAATCTAAAGGGTATAGGAATATCATATGGTCCTTGGGGGAACTTACAGCACGTAGTGCTCAAAAGTAGAGATGTTCACCATTCGAGCTACTGGAAATATTGTTAATTAAACTAGGGAACATAATGATTATACTAATGACCTGGTTAAGATAAGGGATTTCTTGGGCTTGTCAGTCTGTACTTGGTAGCCTGTTCTGGTTATGTATCAATTTGGATATGCCGTGATTCTCAGTAGTTTGGCAGATATTATGTAATCATTCTCCATTTTGTAATCTGATGCGAGCAGCCAGGCAGTTGAAAGGGGAGAGTGTCCTTGGTAGTGTGGCCAACATCTTAGTATATATGGACATTCTAGCAAATCTCGCACTCTCTAAATACTCTATCCAACTTGTCATCCTCTGCCCTCTACTTCTTGGGACACGAGATAGCTGCCT